TGTAAAATAGGTCAGAGAATGTATGTGTGTGAGTGTTACATGTGTGTGTACAACTGAGATTTGAGGACCGCCAAATTCAGTGGCACACTACAATACACACACACACACGCACGCGCGCACGCACGCACACACACACACACACACACACACACACACACACACACACACACACACACAGGCTGCTGGGTTGAATTACACTGAGACTCAACATTATTTGTGTTTACATGCCTTATGGACAAACAGGCAGAGAGGGTAAGACACAGACACGAACAGACAGTCGGATGCTAAATTTGCAATTGAAGATAAAGATGGAAAAATATGTAAATATGGAGAGGAAAATGTTTATCTGAGGACAATAATAATAACCACATTTACAGCAACCATAACAAACACACCATACATACAATGTCTCCTGAACATACAACATACTGTATATGCAGCTTCTACACACACACACACACGTGCCACTTTAATGCACACATTACGTACAAACACACACTCCTACCTTCCCCGTGCTGCCCGGGGCTCGGCTCTGAGAATCCTGTTTTTCCTGCATTTTGCCCACTTTCACATGCCTTTCTCGGTGATGCTGCTTTTACAAACAGCATATTATAAAATAAACCTCCATCTCTCTCACACAAACCTTCCTTCCCCACTCTCTCTCTCTCTCCCTCCAACCCACAATGGCTTTCTCCTGCTCCTCATCCTCCCTCCCCCCCAACGTTTCGCAGCCAAAGCAGAAGCTTAATCCAGCCTGCGTTTTTCTATGGGTTTCTATCTTTATCTTTCAGAGAGACACTCACACATCTGTATTTCAGTACCCCCTCCCTGCAAAGCTCACTGCTAAATTGCATCTTTGTCAGACAACATGAGTCATAAAGTGGATGTGTGTGTGTTGAGTGGGGGGCTTTAAATATGGGTCACAGAAAATGTATGTAGTAGGAGTCTATTTGCACAAGTAGCAATCTGCTTGCAATCAGGTATCTGTGTGAGGAACAATTGTATCTTATCCAAATTCTAAAATATCCCATGAAAATAACCAAAATCAAACTCTGAAAACAATTGTGATGGTCATTTTAGACACCGGCTTCCAGCCTGTGTGGCTAACAATTCAGTTTCCATAATTCCCTCCCCATCATTTCTGTCCCACCTATGATAAAAATCAAACAATCATGAACCAAGAAAATTATTCAAATTCTTGCTTTGGGGCATTCTGTAATGTTTAAGAGAAAACATAGTCAAGAATTATGCACCCATAAATACCTCTGGGTGTATTAGGTCATTGTGGGCAATGTTGCAAATCAGTGAGCACGACTGTTACATGGTTATATTGGATTTTAGAACGATTTAGATGTGTTGAAGACATGTTTTTTTTAAATTGTGTGGTGTTTAATCAACTGGAATAGACAAAACAGACATTTTCATTACACTTACACACGTTTCTTAATTTATTTCCAACACAATTTATGGTATGGTTACAGCTGAGATAGTAGTTTCAGCTGCTGTGCCATCAACTTGGACTGGGTGTTCTATTCTATCATTAATCAACAACTGGTAGCTTAGTTGGACAGTCAAATAGTTAAAGGTGAATAGAAAATTTGCAACACCAGAATATTTTTGTGAGGTCACAATACACACACACAAACTATTTTAACAGTTTGACTTGTATAGAAGCATACAATAAATATGGGCTAATTCACAGATGAAGGTCTCTGACAAGTCTGTATGACCACGATGACCATAACACACAGCAGCCAGCAGGTGCACTCACCGAGGCTAACTCCATCTTTGACTTGGCTGTTGAGCTGGATGAGTCCAGTTTCTCCCCTGCTACTGCCGTTTTGAAGGTGGTTGATTTCAGCCAACGTTACTAAAAAAAGAGGGGAAATCAGATGAGTCACATATTAAAACAGTATCAATGTTTATGAAGCCGGTAGCAGCAGGCTAGTTACAGCTACATGTCAGAGTATGTGAGGATGAGGCAGCAGGACACCAGCCTCTCTGGATAGAACAGACCAACAGTGACAAGCCGACCGCTTAATATCTGGTTGAAGGCAAGCGCCATTAAAACTATCGGCTCTGACAGTTGGTTTGTTTCTGATAAGATCCCCTCGCCGAGCAGTCAGGCATGCACATAATACTTGACTAGCTAGGAAGCTAATTTAGCATGTTAGCTCCTCTTACCGGACTTTGAAGTCTGTTAAGGATTGATGGAGGTGATGGCCACCTCTGCCAGCGCCAAAAACACCATGATTTGTGTTTACTGCGACAAATTTACTGCAACAGTGTAACGTTAGAAAACACCTCCCCTGCCAGGCTGAACACAGAACTTTCTGGAATAGCTAGTTAGCTATAACGTTAGCGGTAGTTAAGTTACTTAACTTTACAGTGGTTCGCCTCTACATAAACAAGTATCCTGACGTATCGTAACGTGTCCTGACGCGTCCTGTTTTTTTCAGTTAAAATGTTTAAACCGCAGTACTGTCTGTAGTATAACTGCGGACCAACGTTGCTGCTACTTGTTAGTCTGCTGCGACGGTTAGCATCTGGCTAGCAAGGTTCACCTCCAACAGCGGTGACACACACACCATCTCACTGTCACACGCACTCACACAGAAGAATAACACTGGCTGTAAAACCGGCTGGTTCAGTCGGTGGTGAGAATTGGGTCCGTGTGCGGGTTCTGGTTCTGCAGTAGAAGGCGCCATTATGTCTAAAATATGGACTATATTCTTTCGTTTAAGTTAAGACTTTCATAGAAAACAAACTGGTATGTGTATTGTGTAGCGTGTAGTCAGTGCAGTTTCAACATTGAACTCAGGGTGTCGCTCTTGAGCCGTGTCTCAGTCTTTATATGATGAAAACCAACGAAAACCGTTTGACACACCTGTGGGACAGTTTACCTACTGTGCACATGTTACACAGTTGTATGCAAGGTTACAGATTTAGCAGCGAGGGCCATCCCAAAAGCTTCAGCTTGTGTATCTGGAAGTAGTTCATGGTGGATTTTGAGGTCAGAGGTGTTTGGATCACTGTCCAGTGTAGAAGCCAACAGGACAATGGCTGACTGCAGGACATTTGTATCCAGTTGGCTGATATTTAGTGGAACCAATTCTTCCCTTTATCCTTTCATTCCTTTTTCTTTCCCTTATCCCTTTAAAGTAACAGTGCAGTAATATTTGAAAAAAGGCAAAATTTTAATGTACGTTTGCTGAAGGAGTTATATTTACTTATTTTCACTTAAAAAAAATAAATTAAAAAAAAGCCAGTGTTGTAATAATTGCTAATATTTTATAGCAGGTATTTTTTTAAAAGTATGTTTGTGATTTCACAATGATCGTTTTTGTCATAATGCCACATTTCTTTAGTAAGTATGTCAGTCAAGAAAAACATGCTGTTGCTTTGGTCTGAATGAGCACACCTTATTTAATACTGAACACTTTCTTTAGGAGGAATGAAATATTTTTGTGTGCTATGCAATATAATCTCGGCAGCATTCCTCTTATAAAGTGAAATTTGAGCTTCCTTGGACATATTTGCAGCTTGTCTGAACTTTTTTAAGACAGACTTGGAGAAAAAATATAAACCTATCTTTTATGCCTAGAACTTCTCAAATTGAGTATATTCACAAAAGAGATGAGGAAGTCAAATACATTTGATATTTTGTCAATTTATTGCATTAAGGCATTTGATAAAATATAGTATAGCCTTAAAATATTGGCATCAATATGAAATGTAATTTCTTTGATAATACAGTGTCAGGGTATCATAATGGACCTAAAACATGCAGGATTCAACATTCAGAGGCTAATGTGCTGACAGAAACCCCTCTGCTGTGCAAAGCATAGCACAAATGTAGTACAGTAAGAGCTGCTACATGACGACCCACCACCAATAATCACTAAAGTGTAAAACCAGTGAGAAACAATACATCAACCAAACAATCATAGATGACGGTACAATATTTGTACCAAAGTGTACCAAATCATTGCTATAATTTCAACCACATCATTGAAGAACTGAACAATTTCCAAACTTTGTTTTGTCTGTGTTGGCATTGTGCAATTTTGGTTGAGGTAATTACATTGAAAGGATAACACAGTGTGAGGAAAAGCATACAGTATAGATACAGATTTATACTGACTCTAGTTTGTAACTGCACCAAAACTCCCAAAAGGACCCATATCTGTGTGCAAAACAAGCATAAAATCACCAGTGTGTCTCCCCAGGAACAGTTAAGTAACAGCAAATAATCCTCAAGCACAGATAAAATTAAATTGCAATGGTTTGTTAGCAGAGCAATATTTTATAATATAACCATGAAGTAGAAAAATAGACCAAGAAGACTTTGTAGAAAAACATTCCTCATTCACTGAGATCAATAAGATTTGGCCAAATATAAATGTATTATATGGGAAGTAACAATAAGGCTATAAGAAGATTGTCATGGTGAATAAAAGGCTAAATCCTCACAGATAAAGTCTCACTTGATAGCTTGCATGGCTAATGTTTTACTATATCTGCATGTTGACTCTGGTCATTGTAATATTTCCCCTCTTGGTGATCCTCCGCTCACTCAGCTGGATTCTCAGATGTCTCAATCTGCACGTCCACATCCTCATCACTGTCGTGGCCGGAGCGATTGGTGTTACGCCGCAGATTGAAAGGCAAATCTCCACGTCTTTAAAAAAAACAAATAATCGTTTTGACACAATGAGGTGCTGCATAAATACTACACACAAGTATAAAAGATGAGATACTCAGTATTAGTGAAGATATTAAAGACTTGAGTGTATAATCATAAACAAGGCCAAAAAACATTTTACAAGTCAAGGCAGCAGTGGACTAGATTTCCTGACATTTAGCCCCTCAGAATAGTGTAAGCTCCAAAAGCGCTGGATTCTGAACGCTCTACTCAACTGTGAGATGAAAACTATGGCCCTACACAAATGTAAAAAACCCTACCTGAGCTTGCTCTTCAGAGTGCTGACTTCACGGTTCATAGCGTCTGCTGACTCAGCAGCATCATCCAGCTCTCTCTGAAGCTTCCTACGGTAGGCGTTGGCTCGTGTCACCTCCTCCTCCGCCTCCTCCAGCTGGCGCTTCAGTTGCCGCATTCGGTTGTTTGTCTTCTCTGCCTGTAGACAGAGAGAGAGAGAGGGATCACTTAGTGTACAGAGTACCAGTGCAACAAGTGCCAAAACAGTAGATCAGCAAGGATTCAAGTCAGGATCAAACTACACAATAAGTCTCCTCTCTTCAGCAATCACAGCACTTACCTGGTCTTTGTATTGCTCTGTGTTGCGCCTCTCGTCATCCACCTGTAGCAACACCTCTTTCAGCTTCTTCTCTGTCCGCCTGGCCAGCCTGGAGGCCTGCTGACGCTCCCTGGAAATAGTACAAAAAGCAAATTGCCTTGAGACACTTTAGGAAAAGTACAAGAAAAAACAACACGCAACACTTAAAGCCACCATCATTGAGGATAATCAAAAAATGGAGCAGCCATGGCAAAAGATTATAAACAATTACAAAACTGTCCCTTGCACTGGCACTCACTTAGACTCAACGTCAAGCTGTTCTTCCAGCTGAGCGATCTTGGCCTCCAGGGTGGTAATGGAGGACTTATACTTGGACTTGATGGTTCCCTCAAGCTCCTGAAGTTTCAGCTTTAGCTCCTTGTTCTGGCGATCCATCTGGGAGCGAGCCCCCTCCAGCCGCTGGGAGCTGCTGCGCTCTCCAGCCAGCTCTGTGGTCAACTGCTCAGTCTAATGAGACACACACACACACACACACACACACACACACACACACACAGGAGAGAGCCTTTGTTAAAGTGAAGTGCAACCTACAGTAGTGTCTCAGCCATACCAGTTGCCTTTTATACATTATGTTCTTCTGTGGTACTCATTGTGGTGTTTCCCCATCAAGTAACTGACAAATTTTTTTCCTGAGTATTGTCTTTTTAAAGTTGGTTTCTATAGCTCTTTCCTTTATCTGTTTAGTCATTCAGCATATCTGAGATATTGTGCATCCTTACCTGCAGTGTGGTTCTCCTCAGACGGTCGTTGACCATCTCGGTGTTGAGCTGCTCCTCCTCCAGCTCCTCCTCCAGCTGGGTGATACGAGCCTCCAGTCTCCTCTTATCGTCGGCCAGCAGAGAACTGGCAACAGCACATGAGGAAGAGGAGAAGTGATGGTTAATGTATGGGGATTCCCTTTAACTGCACAAAATGACCATGCATGTTCTGCATGTGCGCTGTAACCAAGTTTAAATATGCAATTTCTAAGCTTGTAATAGTTGAAAATGAGTTGTCAAAATTTGAGTATCCACACCGTTTAGCAGCATAAATACACTTTGTGGTTGCATCTTTAGTCCATGCGTTAAATTACATGCTCTACAGGCGTTGTAATTGTTTGGCTCATACTTTTTGGAGTTGCTGCTGTTAATCTCATCCTGGAGCTCGTCTCTCTCGGTCTGGACCTGTCTCTTGAGTCTCTCTGCAGTGGCAAGATCCTGGAGGAAACAGAAGGCACAAGTTTATTTAGACTTTGGAGGTTGTTGGGAGAATTACCTGTAAAAAAAAAAAAAAAAAAAAAAAAAAAAAAAAAAAAAAAAGTGGCAATTTGAGCCAAGTTAATACAATATACAATAACACATACATAAATGATAAAGTGCATAAAGTTATCACATTGAGAGAAAATGATGCGTTTTGATTGACATAAAATCAAACAGCAACTGGAACACTACTGTTTTCAACTTGAGAAGCTCCCCGAGTTGAAAGAAAACTGCTTTGCTAAAACATTTCTTTTACTTCAATCTCTGGGCTGCAGCTCAGAGGACTACTGCTATGACCAACTATGCTGCTCCAAAACAGTTTTTCAATCTGTCAATAAATAATGTCTTCCTGATGAGCAGGAGTCAAACAAGCTAGAGTACAAGACTTGTAATTTAAGTTGACTTACTTCTGTCCATTTTCCAATGTTAACACTCAAAATATGACTGGAGTAATTATTCCTCTGTCACTGACAGCATCATGAACAAGTTATCAGTTTCATGCTGACGAACAGAGGAGAGCTCTGAAAGCTATTTCTTTCTCTTTAATGCCTGGATATGTTATCAGCTGCTGTGAACCTTTTCTACACGTCATGGAAAAGGTCAGATCTGAGCTTTGTACTGATGGTTTATTAGAAAATATCAGTTGTACTTTTGCATAATGATGCCATCCTACAATATTCCCTGTAATATACCTCTATGACAAAAAAGAAATTGACAGGATGTGGATAAAGTAGCTGGTCTGGACATCCAGTCACGTTTCAGATTTTTCAGACCCTTTTTTTCCCCATTGTTACTCTCGTACCTCCTGGAAGTGCAGGGCGTCTGCCTCCATGGCCTTGAGCTTCCTCTCGGTCTCCTTGGCCCCACTGACAGCTTCATCTCTGGACAAACGCAGCTCCTCCAGCTCTCTCATATGCTCTTTCATAAGGGCCTGGAGAGTGGACATGCACACAGCAGTGCTGAAGTTAGACACTCATCACTGTGAGGGGTTTCCAATCAGTGTA